AGATTGCATGTGACAATTCTTATATGTGACAGTGAGGTGAAATTACATTTTCTTACATAAACTCTAACAGTGGTGAATGTCATTTTAAAATTAATAACACCTAAAACTAAGTTTTTCTTTGTAACACTGAGCTGTTGTACGCAGGAGGAGGACAGGGCCCCACGCTTGGCCCCCCAAGAATGGCTGTGTGCGCCCACAATGCCCATTTTCCTGGTTTCTTCTCTGGTGTCTCCAGGGTTTTCTTTGTGTGTTATACCTTTATCTCCCACATATAGGGATGATACTAAACTTGAAAGTAAATCAAAGGAGTACAAACTGTGGAAGGAAAGACCCAAGCACGATCCAGTCTGCCCGTTTCTAGCCAAGTGGCATTTGGTACATCCCTCAGTTCCTGAACCCCAGCCTTACCTTTTGCTAAGTTAGGGTAATAGGTTGATGGCCTACAAAGCCCCTTTCCTGGGGCCAGGCTCCTAAGAGGTACCCTGGGAGGCAAAGGCAGCTCTCCCGACTCTGGATATGCGAAGTGTAAAGTAGAATCTGCTCATTCTTAGGCAGCTACAATGTTAATTAGTAAAAGGAATCCAAACAAACAAGGGTAGGGTTAGGTTTATAGATGTCAGAAAGCAAATGAATCAAAGCAAATGAGTCAAAGCCAAAAGAGGCCAAATTGAACAAAGCATTTTGGCCATCAATACATGAATACCTAAAATCTTCACATTCTGTCCAATTGTGCACTAAAAATAACAGAGCTGATGGGAGAACTGGGGCAGGGAGAGACCCTCAAAGCATGGAGCCTTGTAGCCAGAAATTGAGCCAAAACAACTACCCTACAGAAAAGAATGCTTGCCTGACTCCACTGCAGGTCCACACAGCAACCAGATCTGGTGTCCTCCCACCTCGGGGTCTGTTTGGTGCAGATCTCAGAGGAGAGAACAGTCTTAACTTGGTTGATCACTAGTAGTCCATTGTGTGTGTTGAAAATTATGCAGGGGTGGACTCTTGTGGGTTGTGGCTGGTGGGGGCTCAGAAGAAGCCGCTCCTGGCTGGGAGCCGCACCCTCACAGGTGGGTTTACAGGTGGGGCTCAGAGCCTCAGAGAGCAGAGTGGGGTAGCCAGTTATTCACTGTATGAATGAATGAGTGTCTCCATTTCTAACATCCCCTCGTTTTCCCCTGAAATAGCCTGAAGTCTCATTTCAATGTGAACCCCTCAAAGCTGGCTATGATGCCTCTCTTTGGGCTGTTCCAGCTGACCTGCAGCATATAGGAGACCCCTCCAACATAGTTGGTGAAGTGAAGGAAGGAAAGAGTAGGTCTCTGCTTTAAAGTATTTGCTGTGAAGTAACACGTTTACTATCAAAGGTGTTTTTTTTAAAAATTTCTTATAATGCATAGGTTCTATTATAACCAAGACAAATAGATTATACTGATTTTGTTCATTGCTCCAATTCACCTTTCCCTCCATTCACACTTCTCATGTGATTTTCAACTTGCTATGCTTGTGTGAAGTCCCATGTCTAGACCCTTTCTTGAAAAGAAAAAAAAAAATGGCTTTACTGAGTTAATGTTTATGATAATTATTAAGACTTGGTAAGCTACGTTTTAAATCTTTATTTGCACCTTTTGCGCAGTAACATCGTAGTGCATGTATATCATCTAAGAAATATACCCACTCAGCTACAGGTGGTGCAGTGCTCACAGCTTTTTATTAACTGGATGTAGCATCAGAAAGTTGGGAGATGGTTGGTGGGGAACCAGTCAGGCTCCATCCTGCTTTCCCTAAATGGGTGGGGAAATTCTCAAGGAAGGCCTGAAGAGTGCTGGGAATTCCTTCATTCTGACATTATTTCAGATAGTAGATGAAGTAGAGTTTGAAAATGAAGCAGGCTAAGGTGTGTTTTTCTCCTTTGGAAAGTCATGAGGAAATTAATGGAGCAAAAAAAAAAAGAGGGCTGGCCCAGATGACTTTGTCACGAAAGAAGCAAGTTTAGTTTCAGATTAGTTCTTCCTAGAGTTCAAAGATGTTTGACAGGAGAGGAAGCACTGTTGTTTTGTGGCCTCAGATGTTTTCTGCAGGACATTGCAGCCCTGCCGGCCAGTTTTCCAGATGTTAGCATCCAGGCATATGTGACTTTGGGGAATAACTGCAATCTTTACCTGCATCAGGCTCCTGGCTGTGGAACGAAAGATGACAGCTGAGAAACAACCCCCATCACAGCTGCTGACAGTTCTGTCTGATGACAGGGCAGCACTGGGGGTACAGTAATATAGTAACCGTAGACCCCTCACTCACTGCCCATCTTAAAAAAGCAAGTTGCCTCAAGAGTGCAAGGGAATAATGGTGAAATAAGCCCCTCATGTGACATTCTGCTTATTCATTCATCAGATACTCCTTTAGTTCTTGCCATATGCAAGGCATTAAAAACAGGAAGTCGGCTACTCTTCACAACCTAAAGAGATGGCAGTATTATTAGCCCATTTTACAGATGAGGGGGTCTGTAGCTCAGAGAGATGTCCTCACTTGCCAAGGGTCACACACTGTGTATGTCACAGCCCCAGAGCTCACTCTAGCCCCGGCCTGTGCTCTCAGCCCAGTCCCCGTGACCTCGCTGTGGAGGGAGCATGAAGGCAAGCATACTGTCTGTCTTGATAGGGAATCCATCTTGTATTTTTTCCTAGTGGAGATCACCACACAGAGAGATGTTGGTTTATGCCTTTGCATTGTTTCGTATGTAATATTATTACTCAGTGACATCACTATCTCCCATTTTTTGAGTACTTAGCACGTGCAGAGCCTCCTGCACCAGGTACCCTATAGACATACATCCTGATCCTTAAGAGATTTATGCCCTTTCACAGCAGCAGGGGCCAGGTAGCTCGTCCTTCAGCTGATAGGTGGCCAAGACATGAACCCAGGTCTGCACATTGCTCTTGATTGTTACAGGACAGAATCAAGTAGAAACGAGTTCTTCCTGAGACCGTTTCACAAAGCCCTTGTGGTCTGTCAGTAACCAGGCATGTGACCCGGCTAACCTGGGAGCGTGGCCAGGCACGCATGTCTGCCCTCACTGGCGCTCAGCGCTCAGAGGCGACCTCTGGACCATAAATCGTGTGCCCCCACCCCATGCTCCTCTTGGGGCTGGATGGTGAGTGGTTTCCACAGCATCAGCCCCTCAGGCTCTGGCCCCTTTTGATCCAGTGGGGTTTTGAAGTTTTATCTTCTGCTGGGCTTCATTAAACCCTCCTTTGGGCTGTGGGAGTTTTCCCCAGTTATAAATGTTGCGTGGTTCTTGGTATTCAGGTTAACAAATTAGTCCAATTAGATGGGTAAATTAGTCATTCTAACTTTCAAGTTCTGCTGGAGGAACTTTGCGAAATAGCATTTTATAGTTTTCTAACAAGCAATTTAAAGGACACCAGCATGTGGCATTTGTTTAAGAGTCAAACATCCTAAGCAGTGCCCTACTTAAAAACAGATTGTGCTGTTTGCTCATGGACAGACTCAGAGACGTGGCAGAACCCACCTCTTGGCTGCTGTGAGCATTTCCAAACTGGCGCTCTCATTTCTGGGGTCTCCAGCCAAGTGTAGCGGGGTTCGCAGAAAACCACATTAAATTCCAAAGCCGTGGTTCTGCCAGATTGCTTTTTCTGCACCGCCCAAGAGTATCTAATGGGCCTCAGATCAGGCTGCTTGGAATTCCCTCTTAGTGCTAGGTGGTAAAGAACTAGCAACTGAAGGGGGTTGAGGGTGACCCCTCAGAGAACTGCTGGCATTGGGGGTGGGGGGTGGTTACAGAAAGCAACATGGGAAAAATTGATGCCCCTTAATAGCTAGTTTGAAAATACAAAAACTCTTGAAATTTTCCAGGGCTCAGGTTCCTGTGTGTGCAAAGGAGTCATCCCCTCCCAGGGTCACTGAGGAATAAGTGAGATAAGGTCTAGCATGCCTGAAACCTAAGAGGCACCCAGTCACTCGAGGTCCTTCCTTCCTTCCTGGATCCTTTTAACTGTTAGCCTCAGATACTGGCGTCCTTATTCCTGGCTCAGCTGCCTCTTCAAACAATCTTATTAATGCCTATTAAAATGAAACCCAATAAAAGTGCCAATATTTGGTGTTGAAATAATTGATGTAGCAGAGCGAACCCAAGGAGCACCCAGGCAGGCCCCTGGTGCAATTTAGTCTCACACCTGGGGGATGAATTTCACAACTGTAATTGCTACCATATAATTCTTATTAATGTTGTGCTATAATTCCTATTTATTCCACGGGGCTTGTAAATGCATTAGGACTTGTCAACATATTATTTTACACTGTTTATGATCTGTAGAATTATGTCCTTCAAGGTTGTATTGTGTAAAAGCTCAAAATAAATGGCTCTGGGCCTCATTAAAAAAGCCAAAAGGGTCTGCTTGTTGTAGGGGTTCTCCATCCCCGCCATCCTGAACAGAAGTCAGTGCAGTTGATTTTTAATTCATTTCTGAGCCAGGCTCTTTACTCAGGGAATGCAAGGGGGTCCTCTGCTCTTAGCTGAGTCTTTGCAGGAAAGGTGTGGGCAGCTGAAAGGCAGGGTAGCTACTGAAGGACAGGTGTGGCAGAGAACTGGCCTTCCAGAAGCTGGATCTGCATCCTAGCACTGAAAGTTCCCTCTCTGAGTTTCAGGCATTTGTGTCCCCCTGCTTGTTTGGTTTGGGGTGACTCCATTTAGTTCCAAATTTCCTCATGTTCTTCCTAACTCAACCTATGATGGAAAAATTCAGAGATAAATTGCCACTGAAGCCTAATACGTATAAAAAAAGACCCTCTCCCACAGGTGTTTGTATTTACTAGGCCAGTAAAGCACACGGTTAATGGGGACAGAGTTCTGTCCTTTGGAATGTGAGGTGTGTATGTGTGTGCATGTCCAGGTCCTAGATGTCTGCAGTGCCCTCTCCCAAATGTTGGCTATTCCAGCCTGTGGAAAGGCGACAGTGCCTGACCCCTGTGCTTCTCTGGCCCCACAGGCAGTGAGTATGATGAGGAGGAGGTGGATTATGAGGAGTCAGACAGCGACGAGTCCTGGACCACAGAGAGCGCCATCAGCTCGGAAGCCATCCTGAGCTCCATGTGCATGAACGGAGGGGAAGAGAAGCCTTTTGCCTGCCCAGTTCCTGGATGTAAAAAGAGATACAAGGTAAGGGAGGCGCCACCTCCCGTAGCACAGCTGCGTGGAAGGACAGGCCTGCGTCAGAGAGCAGCCCCTTCTTCTGACCAGAGGGGATGCTGCTGGTGTGTGGCGGGTCCTCCTTGGGCATACACCTGGGCATGGCTGCCCACAGGTCAGTACTGGGGACTCCTGGTTTCAGGGTGTTTGGTGCATTATTGGCCTTTGTGGGAGTTGTAGATAAATAATTGTTGCGGGCCTATGTCTTTGATATCCCTCAAGTTCATATCAGATCAGGGCCGTCATTATCAGTTGTGTCACCTGTTTCATGGCCAGACACATCTGCTGAGGGGGTTGCTGCAGGTGGCTGGCAGGAGTCCACTTTGAAGTCCTGAAAGCTGTCAGATGCTCACACTGGAGGGTTTTTAGCATCCAGCTGAGGAAGTTTGTGCTCCCTTCCCCCACCAGCATGAAAGATCAGGGAAGGGGCTTTGATAATTGTCTCCAAACCACCCACTTCAGCTTCTCTTCAGAGCCTTCTCTGTAGCTGGTCCAGGACCTGCATTTCTGAGGCCTGGTTCTGGGGTCCTGGTGAGGGGAGAGAGGGCCCTACTTTTTCAATTAAGGAAACTTGCAGGGTCAGGGGAAAACACCCGGAACATTCAATGGCAGTCCAGAGGGCACTTTAAAAATCAAGTTTGCTGGCTTCCCCTTGGGATGTTAACAGCTCTTTAAAAAACTCCTCAGGTGAGAGAGAAATATAAAAGGAGCAGGTACCTGGTTTACTTGATATGCTAATTTACCCACAGTTCAGCACTGACTTTTTTAAAAGGCTTGACAATGTGTTGACAGCCTAAGCACTGCTTATATTGCTCCTTCCTAAATGTGCCTGAGTGCTAAAATATTCTATTTCAGTGCTTTCCTACCTGCTACTGATTTTAAAGCATGAAACACATGAATCACAAGGTAACTGGCCCTCGGTTTCAACTACTCCCATATTAAAATTTTATCACAGAAAGTCCAGATGCTCTTTGTTTAAAATGAAAACCCTGGGCTGGAGATGTGAGAACTCCACCAGGGCTGCTCAAAGTGGTGGGGTCAGAACCTGTCTCAGCGCACAGATGCATAGACATGACTGCATGTCAGAGGCTTGCGGGAAGGAGCAGAGCAATGGCCCAGCCTTGAGACTGACTGAAAAAAAGAAACATTAACAACGTCATTTATTCTCCTTTCCACGTTTTCTTTATGTGGTCCTTTCTTTTGCTTTTACTTTTCGTGGGTTTCCAGTTATCTCTGGAGTTATCTCTGTCTGCTTTGATGGGGGCTTGCGTGTTCTCTCTCCTTCTAAGGCCAGGAGAAAACTGGATGAGCCTTGGGCTTCAGAGGCTGCTTGTGTGAGCACCACTGACCCGACACTGGTGGCAGTTAGTGGGCAGGACTGCCAGGAGGCCAGTGTGGGTTTCCTTTCCCAATCTAGAATGGCAAGTTATGAAACATGGGACAAGAACAAACATGAATGTACTCGTCAGCGACGATTGTGGTAATATCCCCTAAAGCTTCGATTTGACTTTAGTGGCCGCAGGCAGTCGTGTTCCCCAGTGTTATTTCCTCCTCTTTACTGGGTTGCCGTTGTGCTGGGTCTTAGTGAGAGGAGAGGTGTTGTGAGCTGGTGTACTGTGGAGTCAGGCAGAGTCTGCAGCAGAGCTGCCACCTTTATTCCCAAGACAGTGTGGGGCTTCTCAGTCCCTGCCAGGTGTTGGTATTGGCAAGTGTCTCTAACCAGTCCATTGATTCAGGATCAGCGCTTCTCACCATTTCATTGGTATTTGCATAACAGAAAGATGAAGAGGTACCTAACTCCCCAGACTTCATACTGAACAGTGCAAGAGTGGGGGCAGCAGGAGAGCTGAGTCTCCATGCTGTGTTGTATGCCCATTTCTTTGCCTAAATCCCCCACTCCATGTGAATTAACCCTCCTCACTTCTCCAGGCACAGCTGAAGTGCCCCTCCTTTGGAAGCTTCTCCATTCTCCCAAACCAACTCCCCCACAAACTGAAGTTCTACCCCTGCTTTTGCCATGTGCTGCTCAGGCCACAGGCAGGGCACTCCCTAGATCCTCCCCCAAGGGTACTGACAGCTCAAAGACCCCCTCAGCACCTTGCACAGGTCTCAGAATGGCAATGACCCAAGGATAAAGGGATGGCGACATAATGAAGTGGGAAATGTGGGCTCCCTGCCAACCACAGAACCCCAGGGTAGCAGCAGGAGCCACAACTTGGGGTACCCCGCAGCCACTCCTGGCACATCAGCCTCACCCGCCTCCACTGCCCACATTTCTGCTATGGACTGCCAGCTTTACCTGGGAATAGGTTCCAAAGATGTGAAGTGCTTTGACGTTTTTACCTTTGATAATTTTTCTATTTGTGGTTAGGGTTAAAGGCACGTTGGCACTTTTTAAAAATACAAAACCAAACAAATGCCCCTCCTCCAGCACTACCCTGGAAGCACCTGCTGCTGCATAGAGGGCGGAGCAACACAAATGCTGGCAAAGGGTGACAGACTGGGCTGGTTCCCTGGACGGATCTCCTCTCCTCTCCTCTCCCAAGGGCCCAGCAGGACCCCGGGTGGGGGCATGACTGACGCCACCTTTCTGAATCACCACTGGCAGTAAATAATTAGGACTTTTACAAAAGTTGATGTCAGCTCCATATCCTAGAAATGTATCCTAAGCACATCATCAGGGGTACAAAGACTGATTTACAAGGATGTTCACCAGAGTCAGCACAAATTGAAAAAACTAAATGTCTAAAATAAGGGATCAGAACAGAAATCTACCACCAAAGTTTTCAAAACATACCTAATAAGAGCTAATACAATCCCATACTCATGAAAAAATAGTGAAATACTTCAATGTGGAACAGAGTGGCTGCTTAGCTGTTTTCCTTGACTTTTCTGCATTTCCTATATTTCTGCAATTAACTACACGGAAAAGAGATTAATAATCCAGGGGGAGAAACACCTGCTTTCCACTTGCTTTCCACCTGCCTGGCCCCAATGACTTGAGCCACCCTGGTGAGCCCAGCGAGGGAGCGACGTGCCTGTCAGCTCTTTGTGGCAAGCACCTTCACTTGTGCCGCTAACATTCCCCACCCCAATGGCCCAAATGTTTGGCTATTTTTCCTCCTCATCGGATTCCCAAACAACTTCCTCTCCTTGCTAGAGAATATCAAGGCCAGCAGGAATTGGAAGTTCTTCTGTCGAGGGCACGTTAACACATGTACTTCTTGGTTGCTGAATTCGTACAGATACTCAATAGTTTAGGACAGCAGCCCAATTTGTATCCAACATTGCTTCATGACTTGGAGTGGAATTATGAGAAAAGCTGCTGAGTTGTTTGTTGTCCACTGACTGGTCATTCTGGTGGTAAAATGGGAGTGAACGTCTGGTTCTCTGCTGTACCTCGAGCCCCTGCCCTTTCCTTCGACTAGCCCTGTATCAGGTCATTAAAATTAAGTTCGTTCAGAATCCTTCCCAACTATGAAGATGTTGCAAAGTCTGTCAGCTCCTCATGCTAGCTAATGAGTACTTAACTCTTCTGGTGGGAAATGTGGACTCTTCAGTCAGCCATCCCTGGGCCTCCATTCCAGTTCCATCATTTATCAGCCATGTGATTGAACAAGTCACTCACCCTCTCAGGGTGTCAGTTTTTGAAGTATTAAGAACTGCAGACCAAGTTCTCAGCATGAGAAGTAATGAAAAGATGTCCACCACCTTCCTTATCCTGTTGAAACTTAATTCCCTTTCCTCTTTGCAAAAACCAGGGGGATTTAAGTATTTCATTTTCTGTCATTGCCTATCATTACTTTCATCATCAATACTTTTGAAAGACCAAACACATTTAAGGATATTTTCAGTAAGAAACTTCTGTGAATCTTTAACTCATCTAGAACACAAAGTTCAATAGCTCTGTGTGAAAGAGCAGGTGAGGGAAATCTCAAATGTGATCAGAGCTTATGCTAACATTTGTGATAAGGGTGTCCCACCAACACATGTGAACACCTTAAAATAACAGCAGCAAAGAGAAAATAATGGCTAAGTATGCTTTTTAGACTTTTGACCACCCCTGGAAAATGTCACACATTTCTAAATGTGTAATCCCTAATTTTACCTGGTGATAAGCTGACGTTTTCCTCAGTATGACAGCCAGACACATAACAATGTTTATATTTAAGCAGGGAACAGGCCACAGAACCTGCCAGAATCATTTCAACTCTGAACCTGTCTTCTGGCAAACTCTGGGTCAAGTTTCACGTTGGACTGGCTGCTTGTGGCTTTAGCAACTTGTTTTAAAATCTTCCCTCACCTAATTAGCTGTAAAAACTCAAGCCTGAGTGGAGTATCTAAGCCCTGATCCTCTTGCAGTTGCTTGCCTTTTTAGTCAAATGTTTTTTCTTACTTTTAGGTTTCCTCTAGTTTGTAACAGCGTACTGAAGCACAATAACTGGATTTTTAATGATCCATTTTGCACCAAGTTCCCTGTGAAAACAAGGGCAAAGAGGAACCCTTGTAGATACTCTTGAGTATCTGTTGAGCTAGTAAGAAATTAGGGAGATGAATATTCTAGCACTTGTGAGGCAGACTTCCTTCGACACCATTACTATTGCCTAGGAAGATTCCTATTTACTGTGTTTAAGGTGACTTAAAACAATTTAACCATGTTTTGTGGGTTCCCTGACTTCACCTAGTTAAGTTTCTTTCCCCAGATCTCTCACGTTGCTAGTTTTGTGCCAGCCACGGGTTAAGTACAAACTACCATCTTTATTTCTGCCCCAGCTGAAATGGCTGGAATGGCTGGGGACTGGCAAAAAGCATCTATCCAGCAAAGCAGCCTCACCTGCATGCAGGGACTAATACAGGAAGGGCCGCAGCTGAAAATACAGAAGCTAAGTCAGGTATTTGAGGGCTCAGCTTGCTTTTGTACTTGAGGTAAGCTTCACACTCCCAGGCACAGCCAAGTGGTCACTACTTGACACCCTTGATTTTCGAGAAAGAACGATTTTCTCCAATAGGGCTTTAAAAAAGGATTAATATACATGATGACCTCTAAGAGGAAAATGTAAATAGGAGTAACTACATTTTTTTAATGACAGCTTTTCTAGGAAAGTAGGGCATGTTCTAACAAATTCAGTTACCTGATAAGCATCTGCCCCAAGCCAGGCCCCATGTTAGATGCTCAGCAAATGTTACAGTCCACATATTGTTTGGTTTTTTGGGAACCTAGTAAGGGCATCATGTGAAGAAAGTAGATGACTGTTGGAATCCTTGAGGTAGGCTAAAACTGGGCTTACACAGCAGGAACAGGCTCAGGTAATATTTGAGGTGAAACAGCTCACTCTTCCGGTGATCTGTGCTCAACAACTTCATGTCTTAACACCCTCTTTTCTCTTCCTAACCTGGCAATGGCTGACTTGGAAATACATCTCTGCCACCTGTTCCTCCTTAAATCTTCCACCAGTTACTTAAAACATTGTACATGCTGCTTCCTGATCATTTAATTGGAATGAGCAACAGTAACTTATTTGTTGTATCTGTAGAATAATTCTAAGCATTAAATACTAAAGAATGTGCTACTGAGCTGGCAAAAAAAATAACAAATTCAGAGAGCATTTTTTTCTATTGTATATACCATTTAGGATTTATCAACCAGTTTGAAATTCGGGACTCTTATGTTGAGACATCCACAAACTTAAGATTTTTTTTATATACCGTATATGGTGGAATGCAACACATTAAAGAAGTGGGGCAGACTCTACCCACAGGCAACCATGCCAGGGCAAAATTCAGGCAAATAGGTCCCAGGGTGGTGCAGCACAGCCCAAGAGGAACTGGCTTACTCCAGAGTGGAAAATGAATAGTAATTCTGGGTAAGGTGAGGAATTATCACAGTTGTCTTTAGAAGCAAGGCATAAGCGTAATTTTCAAATCAAGAATTTATACAAAATGTGTCAGACATCACTTTCTTTCTTTAGAAAGACACATTGTTGGCCATCCTATAGTGTTTTTATCATTGCTCATTAACACTCAGAATTCAGAATAGAAAAATGACCAAAAGGAAGCAAATTTCGAAGAAGAGTTCTGCTTTATATAGTGAGCCTTCAATCTTCTTTTATGTAAAACTTCAAGTCAGTACTTTATCTGAATGACAGCATATCATGTGCATGACCTACACAGCCCAACGATGAACCCACCAGACTGTCCCTGAAGAGTTACCATTGGACCCTTCAAAGCTTACTCTGTAACAGCTGCCACCTGGGAAACATCCTATTGCAATCCAGACCCACCCCGAGGCTCTCCCTGGCCTAACAGATGTATGTGATTTCATCTAACAGCGGCATTTGTGTCTTCTCCACAGAATGTGAATGGCATAAAGTACCACGCAAAGAATGGTCACAGAACACAGATTCGTGTCCGCAAACCATTCAAATGTCGTTGTGGAAAGAGTTACAAGACAGCTCAGGGCCTGCGGCACCACACAATCAATTTCCATCCCCCGGTGTCGGCTGAGATTATCAGGAAGATGCAGCAATAACATGCTGGTCATAACTGTGCCAAGAAATCCTCACCAGCAGTTGCTGATTTTGAAAACAGCCACCTTTTTTCAGGGGAAGCATTCAGCAACCCTTTAAAGAATTAAATGCATGCTTTAAATTTTTTTCTGTAATTTTGGAATGATGTATCTTTGTAGCGTTAATGATTTTGTACATTTGCACATGTAATCTTCATACCCATTTTCATTACTTTGATATAAGGTGCTAAATGAAAAAAGCTCTAGTTTCTTCAGCACATTTCCCCCAAACAAAATAAAAGTGAGGGCATGTTGCATATTGTTTAGTCGTATTCCATTGGTATCAACTGGGGGAGGAGGGACTGGCACTGAGATTTTCCCCCACGATTGTAATGTGATTGAAGTTTTTCAACACATCAGCTCACTATGTTCAAACCAAAATAATACCTTCATTGTCAAACTGGTTACCATGCCTTACATAATGGAGTAAGTATTTGTGAGTAGAAAGACTTTAGGTAATGGAAATATAAATAAAAGAATGTTTTAACATAATATGCTAAAAATATTTTCATATTTAAATAACATACATAAAAGGTGTGCTTTGTGTTTTATATTATCTTGCATATCTTTTTGCCCTTTAAAAAGCTGAAAATCTTGCCATCTGATTTACCAATCATTTTAAACAGCATTTTTTGTACAGAACTGTCTAAGTTCACTGATTAATACACATTCATTGAGTGCCTGTTAGGTGCCAGGGTTTTGATTTATGCTTATTGATATTTTTGGGCCAAGATACCAGTTTAGTGAAACATTTTTCCCTGAAATCTGTTAGGAAACACTTAAACGTGCAAATTTTGTGCATGTGAAATTTAGTTCTGTCTTCATCTCTAGGTGAAGTTTTCAAGCACTTTGTAGTTCTCTATTGCCAACAGATTTAGTGTTTTATGTGTTGCCAATTCTTGCAACCACTGCCCTAACCTGTGGGGTTGCAAATCAGAATTAAAATTGCAAGCACGTTTCATACAGGAAGAATTTTGTTAATACCCCCTATGGCCTCCTCTTCATGCTCGGTGTGTTGAAACATTTTAAAAGGCACTTTCCCTTTACAGTGTAGATGTCTGTATGCCCACTGGAAATGTCTGTTTAGCTTTGTAGACATTTTGCTGATATATGAAATTGAGCCTTATTGACAAGTGCTTCTTGCAGTAGGTGGTCAGAAAGTGACTAACACATGACCCATTAGAGTAAACAAACCTATGTCTGGACCATTCCTGAAGTTTTTCTCACCAACAATACCATCATGCCTTGAGTGTTTTCTCCCAAGTGCTATTCCTTAAACATGAGCGTTTACCACTCGCCTAAATAAGCAAAAAAAAAAATTGCTTTGAGATGGCTAACTACTCATAAAGTGAACGCAAACTCATGCTTTTAACTTTCCATTTTACAAAAGTTTTACAGCGGAGAAGCAGATGTCCCTCCTCAGTTTTGCAGACATTTTGAAATGACAGTTGTTAGCCAGGTGGGTGAGCATCTATATTCTTAAATTGTGAATCCCTCATAATGAGACAAAGTATAAATACACTGCCCTCTAGAAATTCCCTCAGATCTCTGCAAGGTCATTTTGGTCCTAGATACAGTATTATTTATCCTGTATGTCTAAAAGGGTGATCCAGACATGAGAAGCAACTAGTTGGAGCATAAAAACGCCCCACTTGGCTATTTCATACCTATCTACAATTGACCAAAATTTCTTAGCCCAGTAATTAGTTAGCTTTGCTCCTTTTAGTAGAATAAATTACAAGCTGGATCAGTAATGCAACAGCTAAACAGTCATAAAATAGTCATTGTGCATGTTAAATTTCTTTCAACTATAAAGCAAATTCCAGTTTCTATTTACTTATTCATTGTGACAGTATTACTAAACAGGTAAGGATGGGATTATTTTGTTATACAGTGTATAGTGAATGTATCGTATTGTGTCTGTGAAAACTGTGCTTTAAATTATATTTTCATATGTTTTGTTGGGGACAGAGCACATTGTTTGAAAGTGACAGAGGTTTGTTTTAGAACTGAAGGCAACTAAGTCAGGATTCCTGTCAAGAAAAGCTGCTTATAAATGTAAATGAAATCGCATTTAAAATAAACTGCCTCTGACCCAAAATAAACTTGGCTCTTTATTTTCATTAGTGATCATTGTGAAGATCAGAATCAAGTTCATTGAGAAACTAATATATCCATTCTATTCCTCCTTCAGAATTCAGCTGACAAAGGTAAGTTTTGTTACTTTTTCTTTCAAAAATAAGTTCTAAACTACTAAGATGAACAATCTCATTTCACTGGTGGTAATTAGTACCATACTATTATAAAGATGTGTTTCATAGGTATGGGTCATAGTTTTTGATATACCAAAAGTGTTCCTGTCCTGTGACCTATCAGAAAACTGAAGTCTTAAATTCTACTGCCTCTGTGGCCTTCATGTAACATCTGGCTATATGCTGCTGTTGTATTCTAACTCAAAAACTTCTTCAAAGGATTCCAACAATACACAAAACTTCAAGTCCTAGGGAAATAATATAAGACATGATGTATATGCGGAACACAAAGTACCCCAAAATGGTAAGACTAAATACTAGGCTTACAGCTTAGATAACTAAGCTTAGAAGCTTAAGCTTTATAACTGCAAAATTTTTTATTCATATTTGAAAAGAAAAAGGAATACAATTCAGAATTTTTGTAAGGCCCAGACTAGAGAGTCAGGATTCTAAGTCTTAATGAAAAATATGTATCTACTTCAGTATTAATGAGTGTGCTATATACACAGAACATGTTTGATTTGGGCTTACCTAATTTTTAATCACTCAGACTGCTGCTTCATTTTGTGATAAAGATAAAATTTTGTATGATTAAGTTAGGTCAGCAAAATATGCCTTGTATTCCTAAAACAAGTTTTTCTTATATAAAGAATATCTGTTATATAGCAAGCAAGTCATCTCATTGTACATGCAGAGGGGTTTTTAAAAAGAATTACTTTGCAAGACTCTTAGGATCAATTCTTTTTATTATACATAATATTTAGTAGTCATGCTCAATCAACAAGGTCAACAGAAACTTGCAAATATTCTGCTAAATATACATTTTTTCAGTGCAGTAACATTAATCCCTGTTTAATTTATTCATATAATATTGCAAACAGGGGAATAAATATACAAACACACAACTTCCTTTCTTAAAGCAATTTAGAATTAACAGATTTTTGATGTCAAAGACTGACCCCAAACTCAACTAGCTCTTGGTCAGAAAAGTGCAGTAGAGGGTACAAGAAAGTGACACCATGTGGTCTATTTGAGGTGATTTTTTTTAACTGCTGTTATAAGCTGTAAGTCAAAAAATAACTAGTCAAAATTCAAAACATTCTGATCAAAGTGGGTCTGCACATGTCTTTCAAACCCCTGCTGGTCATAGTCAGGAGGGAACTGCTCGCTGCACATTGGGCATACCTTCCAATGACTTTCAACATGTTCTTCAAATTTGCTCTGATCATAGTTAGGCGGGAACATTAATTCACAGAGGGGACACTTCTTGTGAACGTCAAAGCTTTAAGAAATAGCAAAAAAATTTATTTTTAGATATATGTAATTCTTTCCAATAGCAGTAATCTTCAAGAATAAGTTACATTTATCCAGTCAAGCTGATTATTCACGCTCAACAACCCACTTTGAAAAGTCTTCAAGTTACTCCAGAAACCTCTCTTCCTGCTTCTAAGTACTTCTAGAGCCACTGGTCTATACAGCTTGTACAAAGGAAACAGAAAAATTACCTGGAGTCAAAGCAAAAGCCTGTTCCATGGCCTCGTAAATGCTGACTTGAAGGAGCTGAGGGCACACTGTCATCTTCCTACACAAAAAAAGAACGCAATTTTTGAGACAAATTCCTAAATTCACTCAAGTAAATTTATAAAGGATTATTCCTTAAGTATAAGTTTGGACAGATAAACTCAACTTCACTGAGAATATGCTCACTTTAAGATTCTGTTACATGCAATCTGCTTCTCAGTAGGTCTGGAATAGAGCTACACATCTGTCAGATACCACATAAGCAACTAAATTAAAGATAGTTCAATTTTAACAGCAGTTAAAACCAGCAGTTTTTTATCTTTAAAAAAACTGAGTTTCTGGCCCTCCCTGGTGGCACAGTGGGTTAAAGCACAGCACTAAGAAGCTTAAGTTCACTTCCGCTTGAGTTCGATCCCCGCCTGTCCCGGAGGAGATCCACGTGGCGTGGCAGACCTCTCCTGACCCGCCCGCTGCTCCCCTCAGCAGTGTACTTCGTCGATCTGCCTGTTCTGCTCCCCACTCTGTGCCTGGTGAATTCTCTCTCACCCACCCTATCTCTGGTCTGTACCCCAGTTCTGTATAAATAAATAAATCTTTAAAAAAAAAAGTTTCTGGCAGTTGCTAAGGTATGAATCAAGTCCCTTGTGAAATACAAAATGAAGGTGGCTTATCCAATCTGATGCCAAGGTTTGAGAAGTCACATAGCAGTCAGCCAGCCATATACATCCCATTAGTAACTGATTACTTAAGGATGAAAACAACTTTTCATTTTTTTAAATGGACACGTGTTAGGACATGTACTTTCGTCCAATGGGGTGACACAAAATAAGTTTAGGACTTTGGTGTAGTCGTTTAATGGTCATTAAGCATCTACAGTCAAGCTAATGTCTCAAATCTCTATACAACAGAGCAATTCCTACCTTATAGTACTGCCATGAAGAACAAAGGAGTTACTATATTTAAAAAGAGAAGCAAATACAAGGACAGAATTGTTTGTTATCATGGCTATCTGGTAAAAGGATGTCTGAGGAGACTTTTGGTGTGAAAGTTAACCAGTCTCTGATGAGAAGAGGAAGGAGACATGGCAGGTGCTGGGATACGGTGAAAGAGAAGGTCACCTCAACCCTGACTCAAATGTGCTATAAGTCCAGCAACCATTAATCACTCCTAGGGCAAAGAAACAGAGAAATTAACAAGTCAACTCATTTGCTTTCTGTATCCTAAAATTACTTAGAAAAATAGCTACTCATTTTTAGGTGATTTTTGTTATGATGACAAATTGTTTTGAAAAACATGGTCTGAATGTACATAAAAATTAGTTTGTCTAATGTAAAAAAACCTGACTGCAAAATACAGTTACCCAAGGTGTACCTATTAAGAACCTTCCATCTCATTACCAAATCTAAGCATGTCAGCAAATGAGCACAAGATTCTAACATAGCTTCTCATAGGTTTGCAGGAGGGCAAAGCACACAGATCAGAAAGAACATTCTGCTAATTAAACTGAAGCAGATGACTACAGAGGAGAATGGCTTGTCACATGTAACATCTGTGCCAAGAATGATCAGATTAGGTATGCAAAATGTGAAGTAAAGGTGTGAAAAAGCAGTAAGATGATACTCTGGACCTTAAATAGGCTACAAAAGTTCTGACAGTTTTCCTAATTATTCCCAGTAATGGACACAGGAGGCCAAAAGGCAGAAGGGAGAAATACATTTTTCTCCATTATAGGTGTTGAGCACTAAGGCTAAAATCATGCCTGTCTGAACACTGATCAGTTTCTGCAAAGGTTAATAGCAATTAAATGCAGCAAACTAGATTAAATGAGAAACAGGTCATGATACCACTGTACTTGCAAAGAGCACGATAAAGCATTTCTTTTAAATTCATCTTCATACACAGAAAATCGCCCCCCCCCCCAAAAAAAACCTGCTATGAAGGAACTATTTACTAAAGGGTAAGAAATTTTAAAAATAATGACAGTACTACACTAATGATATGACTGAGTTATCGGAAGTGCTATATTGCTAGATTAAACAGTAATTAGATGTCAAAGTTACAGGATACAGACACATCATTTTCCAGCTAATGTTAAGAACCCACCTGAAAGTAAGGCTACAATAAAGAGATGCACAATGAAGCATAATAGTTAACACTTTGCTTCTCCCCACTTAGTACATTTACAATCAAAAAAATATAGTGATTATTAACATTAAACTATCTGATGACTATAAAACTGTAAATATTATTCTTTGAATTTAACCTTTACTTTAGTATAAATCCTAAAATATAAGTGAGTGAAGCACTTTTGTAAAAGTCAAACAAGTAATGATGTATGCACACACTCTTCTCACACATTATATAGATAACAGAAATTCAATTTACTTTACTATTCTCAGGATCTTCTAAACCATCAGGCCGACTAAGGTTTCGAGCAGGCTGGCTGCAGACCACATTGTCTTCAAGTCCCCAAGAAGGTAGTCTCACAGGTGGCCTTTGGATTTCATCTGGGTAAAAAGCACCATCTGCTCCATCTGAAATAAGTTTTGGAAGAGCAGAGTGAAACTCTGGTACTAAACTTAACATCTCTGTTCAGCTATGATGAACAGGATATAAAGAACTAATTATTGCAATAACAAGTGTTTGTAAGAAGAACAGCCTACTTATTCAATGAAACTAGTGTTAAACATTTAAAACTATTTGTTATAAAATGTTTCTATTAGAGTTAACTGCACCAACAATATTCAATTAACCCAAACCATAAATATTTTAATAACCTCTTATTTCCTGTGTTGCATAAGGATTACCATATTGTAGAACAGGCTGTATATTTGGTATTTCAGGAGCATGACCATTTTGTTCTGAGCATGTGTTCGCACACTGTGAGAGCTGCTGAGGACTCTGGGAATTCTGACCCTCCATCTTCCTTTCTACTGAATTTTCTAGACTCCTTAGGATAAGTTCCTGAAGTTAACAAAGGTAAAAATTAATAACAAAGACAGCATACAGTTGGAAAACCTAGTTTTTAATTCTACTAAATACGCTTTCCACATGTAACAAAATCAGGAAGTAGAAAACCCAATGAATTTTCAACTTTTTGTCAAGAAAATAGCATGTTATTGAAGGGAAATAAGTTAACAAATTCCACAATAATCACGACCACATATAGGTTTTATCACAAGAATGCAAAGACATATCACATTTTTGTTCACCATGTTCAGGGGAAAAAACCACAATCATTTTGGTAAGATGCAAAAAAAAAAAAAATTATACAATTCTAAGAAACTTTGATGGTAAAAAACTCCTAAAATCAGGCCCTCCCTGGAGGCACAGCACTAAGAGCTAAAGCCACTTCAGCAGGAGTTCGATCCCTGGCCCAGGTGACTAGCCCACTGCTCCCCACTGTGTCTGGTGAATCCTCTCACCGACTCTGTACCTCTGGCTTGCACCCAGTTCTGTAAAAAACTCCTAAGACCAAGGATGTGTATCTCACCATAACTGACACTGTACTGGAGACTCTGAATAGCAGATTAAGGCAGAACTAAGATTAAAGCAGACAGATAGTAAAGGAAGCCATAAAATTCTATTCACAGACCTCATCACATATTTAGGAGAGGGAGAGTTTAAGTGAATTTAGAAAGGCTGCAATGTACAAAACCAATATTCCCATCAATTGTATTTCTACATATAAGCAACAAGTTTAAAAACTCAATTTACAATGAAAGCACTGATAAATACTACTAAAAGGAAGAGTTCGACACTGATTCCATGTTCATGAATTTGGAAATATTAATTACTCCCAAATGACTTACCGAAGACTTTTACAATCTCATTTCAAGACTTATTATTATTAAGTAATAGTAGTCAATAGAGTACTGACACATACGTAAATACATAGATCAGAAAGTGGGCTCTGTGCACACGTAGCCTCTGGTCCTAATTAATCAAATCTGACTTATATCAAAAGATAATACCTGTAAAACTAACTTACAAATCAGGCCACAGTCCAATTCAGCTTGGTGGTCTTACTTTGCTGATACTTGATATGACTATTTTATTATAAAACCACTAGATTAAAAAGATGAAATCTAGGTGAAAATAGTTAAGACTGACACAAATGATATGAACCACTAAGAAAAATACATCCAAAATGGACTTCTTCAAAATATAATTTGACAAGGAAGCCACATGTAGAGAAAATATTTTCAAAATTATCTGACAAAAGAAATGTACATGGAGTATTTGAAATAAACACAATCCAGATAAAAGAAATATAGGTAAAAGATAGGAGTAGACACTTCACAAAAGAATAAACACAAATGATCTTATAAGCACTGAGAATATTCTTGGCGTGACTAGTCATCATGGAAATGAAAACCAAAACTACATTTATATAAACAATATACAACCATTAGAATGATTTAAAGACTGAGCCTATGGAACAAGTCAAATGCTCATATATAAGGTGGTTGGACTGCAAAGTTGTATAGACACCACCATGGAAAACAATTTGGTTATTTCTAAAACACACACTTATCATATAAGACAGTACCTTCCACACCTAGGTATCTACTGAAGAAATATAAAAACATATGGTCCACAAAAGACCTGTATGAGAATGTTCAAAAGAGCAAGACATCGAAAAATAATTTCCAAAGCCCATCAACTAGTTTAATGTATATTAATGAGAAAGTGGATAAATTCCATGTGACTGAAAGTGAATGGGATAGAAAGCAGATCAGGTGTCTCGAACTGGGTTGCTGGAGTTGACTGCAAATAAGCATGAGTGAACTCTGTACAGTAACAGAAACATTCTATAGCTTAAATGGAATGGTAACTACAAAACTATACATAGTGCCAAAATTCATTTACATGCACAAAGGCAAAACTCAACTGTTTCATTAATTCTCATACCTTGAAAGTAGAAATGAGCCTCTTGTTAAACAAAATTATATATATATAAATTATCCTAAAATGAAGTGATCTTAAAATGGAACAAGTCATTGCTAAGAGCAAAACTGGTACACATGAAAAATACAAGTCAATTTAGGTGGTTAAAAAAAAAGTAAATTTAAAGTTCCTCATAAGCAGATGGTAAGTATACTAAAGATAGGTGAAATACATGTTGCAGGGCTATAAAGTGAGTATGATTAGGGCACAGCAAGTTGAGATGGTGAGATATAGCTACAAAGACAAGTGAGATGTCAGATGTACATCTACATCATACAATTGTTTACTACATTGGCTTTAATGGTCAACAATAACATGGTAAAATAGTCCTTAGACAGTCAACATAGAGAGGCCCTAGGGCCTCAAACTGGGAGACTTGCTCAGGGGTTTACCTGCTTACCACATCTACCCACAAAAACTGTGGTAAAACCCTGGAGTTAAAGAGATACAGCTGGGCTCTGTGAAAGGGACTCAGGCAGTGGGGAGGCACTGCTTAGGGAGGGACTATTTGAACTAAACAAAAAGAGCCCTGAAAGCTCAGAGGGAGGACTGGTAGACTGCTCAGCTGGGAGGATTTCAGCCCTCTGGCACTCCCCTGTACTCCTGTGGGGAGGAGCCGATCCCACCCCCACAACAGAGGCCCAAAGACTTGGGATCCAGAAAAGCTCACAGTACTTAAGAGTGTAAACAAAGCGAGCCACCTACTCAGCCAAAGGCCTAGCTCTAGGGAGATCTACAACACTTCTAATTCATCATAACCACAACAGGCACACCAAGCATAGAGGGAACCTGAGACATCAGAAGGCTACAAAGATCAACAGACACCTTTCAGAAACACGGCCTCAATGTGTTACTAGAAGAGGCTAAACAACACAAGAGACCCCTGACTGTTACCAGCTGAGAAAACAGACATAATTACACACAGTGGGGGCTGGGGGAAAAAACACAACTCAATACCCTCCACAACTGAAATGTCTGGAAGTCCCTCAGCTATTCCAGAAAGAAAGAAA